CCCTTACTTGGTGGTTATTTGTCACACTTACAGATAGCTAAAAAGATTAATTGAGTCAGTGGTTACTTAGAGGAGAAACTCCACTGGTCCCATACCACTGACCATCATGTGATGTTGGCCCTAGAAGTATGCAGACACCATAAGGAAGGAGGCTATTTTCAATGTGCTCACTACTCAAGGAACCCCTAGCAATCTCTGGAAGAATCCTTCGTACCTTTGTTAGTAGTCACAGAATTATTAGTATAAAAATATATTCCATGTAAAAATAAACTTGTTTTTGAAAAGTAAATAATTCAAATAGTTTTCGTTGCCTTTTCTATGGGATATAAAGCCGATAAATGTATACTTTCCAAAAACAGCAATGTTAGAATTAATGAAAGATTATTTACTATACCTTTTAGCTTGTCATGCACAATCTATTTGCTCATCTCCCCTATCAGCAGTGTGATTGGTTGTCAGTCTTAAAGTTGGGGGCCTAGGAGGGGGGAGATTTGGGCTCTGTGATTGGTAAAATGACTTGAGTAACCAAGTGGATCGGTGTAGCTTACTAATGAATCATGTGCAGTATTAACTGTAACAAAAGAAATGAAAAGGAGATTGTTCGCTGTAGAAACCACATTTTATTCTTATTATGTCTTTATATATTGCAAGTGTACTAGCTATAAGTTAGGTTAATATCTTATATCATTAGCAATATGCAGACACTCATTTGTATAAAATGAAAAATGTTTAAATTACTGCAACATAAGCCATAGTGAGACTGATTTACTTAAGGGGTTGAGAATCTTTACACAATAAATTGTGGGAATATTCATCTCAATTATCCAGTCATGTCAAAAGCAAATCACTGAAATTTTGCACACTTTATTGTGTGAAGATTCACAACTCCTTTAGGAAAATATATGTTAAATATTCACATAATAGCATTTCTAGGTGAAGTGGGATGAATAAAAAATGGAGCAGAAAAAGGAGAACAATTTTCCATATTCCTGGTGCCTTTCCATGTAACCAATTATGGGAACTAAGTAGAAATAATAACCACAGGAACAGAACGGGTCCAAAATATAAAAAATGTTTTAATTTAGCAATGACTTATTGAAACAGTCAAAATCGAGAAAGTCAACTTGCCTCCACATCCAACTTGTAATGAAACAGAAAGACCAGCTAGCTGCCTGGCAAATGTATTCTAATGAAATCTGAGCCACAGATGCCTAGTAGGTTGCCACACCTATGGTGGAGTGCAACGAGAACTGTAGAAGTGGAGAGATGTTTTTAATTTGATAGCAGACCAAGGTGGTCCAGATGATCCAAGATGAAATGGTTTTTGCCATAGCTGCCTTGCCCTTTCTTGACTCCAGCAGGAGAATAAAGGACCTGTCTGAGTGCCTGGATGCTGTTCCATGCAGATAAAAGGGCTTGCCTGTTGCCATCAGAATAGCCAAAGTAACAGCTGTTAAAAAGGCACATTTTGAGGTAAGATACCACAAGGACTCTATAGGTTCAACAGAAAAATTAGGGCTTCAAAAGCTAGACACAAATTGCAATGGGATTAAAAAAAAAACCTGTTCAGAGGCTTTAAGCAGACCTTTACCCCCTTTTAATAAAAATCACATCAGCATGCAGCTCCGTATGACGATAAGAAATTATCTTACATTAGACCAAATTGTTTGCTTTTTAATAATGGATACTGCTTTTCCACCTACTGGTTGAGTAAGTCTGGCCTCACAGATGCACCTTGGGAAGGCTGCATCACCAATGCCTTCCTGCCAAATCTCGGGGGAAAAGGCATTTTTTTCCCCCAGATGATGCTTTTTGAAGAAATGCCAAGACTAAATTCCTAAGAAGTCTCCTGAAAGGAGGGACTAAAACTCTAGTATATAGCCTCTTGAAAGTCACCAATGGTACCCTTTGGTCTTTGATGGTAATCACTCAAATTCTTTCATAGTGCCCTATAGGGAAAGCCTGGGCAGGCCTTATTTCAGAAGAGGTCTAAGGCATTCTTTAACAGAGTGATTATGGAATTTTAAAAGCAAAACAACAACGGTCTGTGAGTAGATCCAGATCATATGAAAGGTTTATTTGACACATGCGTGTGGGGAAAGCCTTAGACTGTCAGGCCAGTTCCAACCCCACTCTAGTTCATACAGCTCATAAAGGTCCACACATCAAGATAAAGAATACGTTTACATCATTGTTCAGTTTAACAAAATAAAAAATACAACCAATCCTGAATCAGCATTATTTAGGAATCGTTCCTCACGTATACATAGCAAGTGTCTAAATTAGATAAACGGAAAAACTCCTAGAATGACAATTTCTCCAAACACTTTAATATAACAGCTAGCCCCTTCTCAGAAGAGTGACTTGCAACTTTGTCATGAATAAGTGACAACACATGTGTTTAAGTGTACATTAAATGTTTTAAAGTCTCTAACTGTATTTAATAGTAAGTATGTTTTTCTTTAATATAATATACATCTAGAATATGATCGTATAGTGGAATGCCTTTTTAACCTGTCATTTTAGATATCATATTTACTTCTGGTAGTGTGCCTTATCTTATACAATATTTACTAAACAGTCTTACCTATGAGATACATTCCATAATATGTTTCACTAAGCAGAAGATCAAACTGATTGACAAAATGGAATCTGAAAATGTGATTCAACAGGGATCATCATTTATCCCTACACAAGAGGGATTATTTTGAAAATGAATGTTGTAAAAGTGCTTATGTCTGTCTTTTAAGGACTGCTGCTTTCTCTTTTGTCTTGTGGGATAACAGCAGACATATCACATGTTACCCTTTTTATAACTTACTGTAGGTGAGAGCCAAAAAGCTATTTACCATTTTATGGAATGTAAGATAACCCATGTTATAAAATAGGGAAATAGGCTGTTCACTTTGCCAGGGAATTTTAACCTTGCAGGGGAATTTTCCCTTAGCTTAATGAATGCGGTAAAAAGACACTTTGTAAAGTACAAGGAGAATATTTTTGCTTGCATATGATTGGATGATGGAAGTCACCTCTTTCACTAAGCTAAGGGAACATTCATTTGCAAAGTGATAATTCCCTTGCAAAGTGAATAGCCTATTTGCTTTTAGCAAAACAACCCCCAAGAGACATCATGGGACTCATCACTGATGTCGATGACTGATAGAGGATGTATTAGAATAATGTCCATTGGTAGAGAAGGATGAATGATAATGGAAATGATTTGAAGTCCTATGAGGCAGCGAATATCTGGGGGTAGAACCCTTATCTTCCCTCTAAGAGCTTCTCCCAATGGCAGGACTAAAATAACAAATGAAAACGTGCGAGCTGCACTCGTTTAAGAAACCAAACAATGGCTAGTCTGAAAGAAGTAACTCTAACCTAACAGTGGAAGGATCTTGGACACATAGAAAGTGTAATCAGAAAAGCTAGAAAGCAGACTGGATACAGCTATGTAAAAAGCACAAACGAGTGCAAGAAACAAATTCTCCTCAAATCTGCCCACCAAAGGGGTGAGAAAAAGGACAAATCGAGAAATAACATGAAAAGCTACCATAAAATAGATGCAAGGCATACATTATAAACCGATAAGTGCAATATAACCAACCATCATTCACCTAAAGCAAAGAGGTTGCAGAGAGGCAGCACACTAAAAATAAGTAGATGATCCAAAAACCTAGTAACTCACCCGAGGCACCATAGGAGGGACCAGAGAACAGAAACATGACATGCACCATAGGTAGTGCCTAAGACCATAATACTGTGCATGCGCTTAAATCTAGAGGCCCACTAGAAAAATATTGTTAATTAGTGATGCATTTCTAGTGCAAACCCAAGTGGATACCTGGGCGCAAGAAAGTGGCCTTTGGCTGACTTCTGGAATGTGCGATCACAGAAAAAAATGGTGTGAGCATGAGGAAACCTTTTATTCCTACACTGGAGGGCTGTCCAGGGGTCAAGGGGTTGGAGCCATGCCCATCAGTGCCATGGGAAGGCGCCAGAAAAATAAGAGCTGTGAAGGGAGGGGTGCAGGGCCTTGGCCAGCCCAGAGAGTAATGAGATACCTCCAGAAGAGGGGAGGGCTATGATGTGCAAGGAGGGATGGAGCTGTGCTAGGGAACTGACTAGGCAAATTCTCTAGCAAGTTCAAAGGCACTTTGCAAGTAAATAAAAAATAATTTATGGAAGCAAAACATTTAAAATATTCAGGTTTGGTGTGCTTTTATCTGCAATTTTTAAAGTTTGTGACAGGGTCTCTTTAACCTATAAGTACTCCAGATTCAGTGCTTTACACTGTAAAAACTTTATAGCTACAACCTAACATATTTTTGCTGGTTAATGTTGTCTAGTATATGTTCAACTTATTTAAAAAAAGTTAATTATAGCTTATCTGCTCATGCCATGCTATATTTTCATATATTGTTATTTGTAAATATTTTCAGATATATACAGTATGTGTGTGGAAAATGCACTATGAATTATACACGTGCATCCTCTGAAAATCTGTCAATATGCTGGGTTACCTTTGCTTTTTTTGTTACGCAGCATGGCCTACAGAATCTCAGAGCTGTGTTTACATCCTGGTTCCAGGAGAAATGCTGCTCTTGTAACCCAATCCATAGCATGTCTCCAGTCTCTAAACAGCACCTTCTAGCAGTGGCCAAAATACACTTGTTCACACCAAAGCACAATGGGGGAATTTAATAATACTGGAGCAGACAAAATCTGGAGCAGTTGCCCATAATAACCAACCAGCTACTCTCTTTAGTTTGTTCAGTTTTACTTTGAAAATTAAAGATGGAAGCTGATTGGTCAGTATGCACAGCTGCTCCAGATTTTGTCTGCTCCAGTTATGATAAATTCCCCTTAATGTATTAACCTTTTTGAGGGGCTGTAGGGGCATATACAAATGCATAATTCTTGGTGGTAGTGCACTTATTCTTTCACAGAAATTAAATATGTTTAGGTTATTCTTTTTTTTTTTTGTATTAACTCTAATGCAGGCAGCATTGGAAGCCGCGCTCAAAGAAAATTCCACACTAGCTAAGGAATATAAGACTTTCCAGGTCAACTATTTGGATGAGAAAGACAAGTTAATGGTCAATTATGAATGCAGGCTGAGGACAGAAGCAACAATAAGAGACTACTTACAGGTAAGTCAGGAACATCGTGAAGGTATTAGTGTTACTAACATAACATTGTGTACTTAGGCTTCTTATACTGTATCTGAGCACCCCTGCACATAATGCTCACAGTTAAAGTGTGCTATCATACCCTAAGACAGGAGATCCCTCTATAGAATTAAAGTATTTTTTTGACAGTTCTCTCATGGAGCTGAACACACTGTATCTTGAAAGTTGCTTGTGACCTCCCGAGAGCTCATTCAGTTCTGAGAAGAGTCCGGCAGATTGATTAAACTGTAACAAAAAATGGACTGTTGATAACAATCAATTAGGTTACATATTTTATGTTTGAGTTAGTAAACAAATAATAAACATGTAAACATAATAATTTTACCTTGAAATTACTATTTTATGTTTCTAACTACATCTTTCCTTTTTTCATACCCTTTTGTTTTTTTAAATGCTGATTCATTGTTCATGCGTATGCCTAAACCCTAGTGATCATATTCAAGTTTATATCCAGCAGTCATGTGTTTGCTTGTCTGATTTATATGGGTGCATACTTTGTGCACAACATTCTTACATCATCAAAATTTGGTGTAATTTATTAATGATTGTAATACCAATTTTATAGATACTGTGTGTATATATATATATATATATATATACACACACTGTTAAAGCTATGCATTTTCCCACTTAGAGATTAGGCCTGATTTTACTATAAAATATGAGGTTTTCTATTGCATAAATGTGCTTTTCTCTTATAAATGTGCTTGCCACTGGTTAACTGCTCCAGCAGCTAAATGCACATCAGCTAAGGTGTGGTGTACCTGGAAGCAAAATTGTAGCTTCCCTAATGGTTTGCTTTTCATGTAGGAATCCTGCATTATGAACTGTATATCAAAACAGCCTTCATTGTACACTTTTTAAGTCTGAGGTCACTAGGTGCGAACATACTCCTGCTCATGGAAACCTGCAACAAAAATCTGACTTAAGTAACTTCTTATTTGCCAGATCTCTACAGAGAGACCACTGCTTCCACACCAAGAGCAATGCTAGTAATGGACAAACGTTTCTACTCTGTGCTGTGACTGCATTCTATATAAAGCAAACTGTAAGGCCCCTGAAATGACTGCACCCCATGTCGTGCTATGGGGAATTAAATCTAAACAACATGTGTCAGTTTACATCAGATTTCCCCTGATCTGGCAGGATCAGGTCTAGCGAAACAGATCTCAGACCCGTTTGTATTTCCAGACCTGGCCGAAGTCGGGGGTAACCGGGTGTAAACAGATGCTCGTCCATTCACACATGGCTGCCCATAGCCTTACATTGGGCATCCGATCAGGTCCGCTTGAAAAACTGACAAGCGGACCCGATCGGACCACCTGTGTGAAAGAGCCCTAAGACTTTGCACACCTTTTGTTTTGATGCTCCTGAAATATATTTAGCTAATTTAAACAAAGTTCAGTTGGCTTTTAAAGTCATCACAAATGTCGAAAAATATGGATATGGAATTTACTAACAATAACCCAGTAAAACAATCTAGTTTTAGTTTACAACAATCCGATCAGTTAATAGATGATTTCTGAGTGATCACTGTGGGTCACTACCTTGTCACACTGTCATAGCTCTTTTAACTTCTGACTGATTGGACCTGATTATTTGCTCATGTGTATTTATTTATTCATTTTGTTTGCTGTATTACATATCTGTGATTTAAGTGGGCTAAAAAACCCATGCAAATATAAAGACAGGCTAGGAAGAACTTTTATCAAGTATGCTAGAGCGGTCCTTTTCATTCTAATATGAAACTATTGTAAGGATCATTGCACTAATGCAGGAGGATTTGTGATAATGTTGCAGAAATTTTTACTGTCAAAACGGAACTGCAGTGTAATGGCTTTTGTTATCATGGCTTCTAATAACTACTCAGCATAAATTGACCCCACATATGTTAAACTGAAATAATATGTCAGGCACATAATAAGATAAAGGAGACATGGAAGATGCAGTGACAATTCTATGATAGTCATGTGATAAATTATTAAACATTTTACATTGTTTGTTAGCATTTTTGCTACACGCGGAACAAAACTTTACCACTGAGAAGCAAAGGTCAATAAATACTGTATAAGCACATCTCTAAAATGTATAATGAAATGTATACTGGATTACCCTATGTTGTGTTTATTCCTGTGCAAAATTGTGTTCACCCAATGTTAGAGTAAATAAGTTGTAGAGTAATGTATATAAAACACAAATAAACAAAAACACACATTTTTGCAAGCTTTAAAAGGGAACTCTTGACTAGGGAACTTAGTAAATGCATTAGCAACAGTCTGAAAAAATATTTACCATAGGATATGATTTAATTCACCTTCCACATTGGGTGTTCACACAATATTAATGCTTGTGCTGATAAATCCCCCATTTTTTCTGAATGTTTGGATGGTATCTCTAGCCAAGATTGTGGTCCGTAATTTAGCTGCAAGTACAGTTCAAGTATATTTTCACTTTTGCAGCCAAATTGGGAAAGCACCCGTTACATGCTCCCAGAGCATAACTACATTTTAAAATATTTTAAATGTGTTGCTTACCTTTTTACTTGTGTGACAATCATGTGCCGAGCTGAATAAATATATACAATTCAGTGAAATATGTGATATAACAATAAGATATATAGGTATATGCTTTAAAAAATATATTCAAAAGAGCATATCAAAACATGAAAAGATGAGAACAAAGTGATAAAAGCAAAGTCCAATGTGCAACAATTATAATCGTGCAAACAAATGCAGGGGATAGTCCACCACTAAATAGATTCAAACTTCCAAGTAAGCAGTTGCCACAGAATCCTGACAGACCTTCACCTCCACCCACTGAATGCAAAAATTGGAACGGTGCTCACCTGGGGAGATAGACCCACAGAACTAGGTCTCAAAGCGCATTTCCCTTTTTAATAGGGGAGGGAAGCCCGTATGAATGAAGACCAGATAACCTCCTCAGCTCGCATATAGCATCATCATTTCAAAGGGAGACAAAATATAAGGAGGACATTGTGCGTATCGTTTACAAAATACAATTTATTGAATAAAAGCAGGTGCTCACCATGTCACAGGTGACAAAAGGCATAAAACAAATATCTAATGGACACATTTATGGGTGCAATGGGACTCCCATCTGTCCGGCTCAGCTAAGAGTGACGTCAAATGCTCAGCCCTACGTACGTTATATCTATGCGTGACTTCATTAGGTGGCTGGCACCTGACTTTGTACAGGTGTAAGAATTGATGCTGGTTTGAAGCCAAAGGGTAGTCACACCAAATATTGATTTAGATTTTTCTTCTATTCACTAACTTTGCAAATTGATAAAAATCAACAATAAATAAATATATTTTTTAAAGCATTCTTACATTACAGCATTTTTTCACACCTGCCTAAAACGTTTGCATGCTACTGTATGTCTAAAACCAGCATGTTTTGGAGTAGGGAAAGGTTAAAACTTGTCAGATTGTATTTGCTGTCTTTGTACCTATGAGGAGATTTCACTTCCGTTTCACAGGCACAATAGGAAATCTATCTGAAGTGAGGAAAACCCTTTTTAGACAGTTGTCATCAAAACAAGGGCCTCCATTGGAACATTTTACCTATTATTTTGTGCTCCAGTGAAAACTCCAAGTTATGGATTTTCCTGCTACATGACAACGGTCATCAGGCCAAATAGAGTGAATCTCTCCATTGGTGATACAGACAGCAATGAAAAAGGGTCATAAATATTCATCCTCTCTATTTGTCACAGTGACCATAGTCACCGGCACTGAAAGTGAGGGAAAATCCAACATTTTGAAAAGTCACCAGATCAGGAAAAGAGATAAAGTCTCATGACAACTTTCTTATTTTGGAGAGAGACTTCCTCTTACTTCCTGCTGTTTTTAGTAGGCAGAAAGTGAAAATCGAGATGAATAACACAGAGACAGACAAAAATACAGGCAACTGAAGACAGAGAGCAATTTAAATGGCGCACACCAGCTGAAACTTTGGTCAAATAGTTGAGTGAATGAAAGGTGAGCTTGTGATGTGTATAAATCACAAAACCACATATTGAACTGAATGCAGTTCTGGGTACTGCACTGTAAAAGAAGAAATGTTGACAGGGTTCAAAGTCAGAATGTTAACTAATTTGAATTGTCCTTTAACCTCTTGCCGTCCGCCCGTAGTAGAAAAACGGACGGACGGCACTGCACCTCATTCACCTCTGTAGCTGTAGGTATTGTGAAGAAATACATCTTCAAGATTCACATCAGAGGAACTGAAGTAACAGCATCTTTCCCCTTCACTTTCTATGGAAACAGAATCATGCTAGGCTGCCAGCCTTGTAATGTAAACAAAACCATGTGCTTGTAAAGTGTTAGAAACTCACTAAAACTCAACTTTAAAGTTTTTGTTGTGACCTTTGAGTATCTTTGAAGATAAATAACTTAACACTCTAGGCATTTAGACAGGTCAATGATCGCTTGTTTTAAAGCTCTTTTACTGCATGTTACAAATATGTTTAAAAAATGCACAGTCTGAGCATAGGAGCAGTTTAGATTTGAAAATAAAATATCATAGAGGTAAGCTAACCCAAAATTACATAGTTACATAGTAAAAAATAATTGCCCCAGCAGGCCCACCCATTACATTCTGAATGTAGAAAATGATTGAAAGGGGCAGACACAAGGCCAGTCACCTTACACAAAGAGAAGGGGCAGCAATGACTAGTCTACAGGAAGCTCTTGCACTAAGACAAAGTTTCAAGCTTGATAACTGCAGAGATCTGGGATAAATCCACAAAGTACACCACGATTCCAGTGAGAATACACATGCTTCTGGTATTTAGGCAATCCCAGAGTTCAAATTTAATAAACATTGTATTGTATAAAGCTAAGGGTAACATCAGTTGTTTATGGAGAAAGACAATTTTAAAATTAGTAAAGGAAGTAGTAAAGTAAGAGTATTTCAGTTGTAGAATGCCCTTCAGGCAGAGGTAGTGATGTTGGCAAAAACATTTAAATTGGTGGGATTTTTTTTTTTTTTTTTACTGATGATATGCATAGTTATATTAGTAAACGATTATATTGAAATGTGTAATGGAAGGAATTTATTCAGCTACCTTTTTTTGGATTCCGGAAATATTTTTCCCAGGAGACAAAATTGGCTATAACTGCCCAGGAAGTTTTGTTTTACTTGATAAAAACCAAAACTACTTGAGATCAGTAAAGTCTGAAGACTTATAGGTGTCTCTTCAGCCTAAAGAAGTATATTTGCTGAACTTAGTGAACTGAGTGCACGCAGCTAAATACATAGAAACACGTATACAGGATCTGTTTACCTGCCAAAAGATTTGTATTGCTGTTTAGCCAATTCTGAGATTTAAGCAGCCCAGTGAATCAGCACAGTCAAGTTTGTGACCTGGCTTTCTCTGCTGTAGTTATATAGCTAGTTTACCTCCATGCATTCTATTAGCATGTTATATATCGGCACATCTGCACAGTGGCACTGCCAGGACAAGGTCATATGCCATCCAGCTCTCACAGTAAAGATATCAAACTGTAACTATCACCCGCAGGTGAAGCAGGGAGCAGAGTTAATAATGGAGTGCCCAACCAAAATACATGTAACATATGAGTTTAATAGGGGTGCACATTCTGTCTTTCAGTAAAATATGGGCCAACAGTGATGAAGAAATTATCACTGGCAGTATGAGAAAAAAATGGCCCTAAGTCTGTGGTTTCACTAGAAGTAAAAAAAAATGCCTCTCTGTCAGTGGTGTCACTATAGGGTAAAAAATGAATGGTATCACTAACAGGAAAAATGCCCCAGCATAGGTAATATTGCTAAAGGGAAAAAATGCACTAGTGTCAGTGGGAGGAAGAAATGCTCCATGTTATCAGTCTAAGGAGGACTGCTATGGCATATGTGTCAGTGGAATGACTGGGAGACTATGGGAGCCCTGTAGAATGTATTTACCTATAGGTTGAACTTGATGTTTTTTTTTCAACCTGACTAACTATGTAACTAGGGAGCTCTGTGTGGCTCTAAAGGGGGAGGGGAGATAAAGGGCTCTGATGGTAGTATGAGACTCTTTGGGCATTTAAAAAGGGAGAGGGGATATCTGAGGCTGAGTTTCTCCCCCATCCTTTGTGTACTTACAGACCTCCCTCTTAGTTTGGCTCCCACCTAGGAATGAGGGCAGCTTTTTTCCTCTATCTGGTCTTGTGAAATGTCACATGACAAGGGGAGATAGGAGAAAGAACAGTCTGCCCTCACTCCCAGGCAGGCACCAATGCTAAGATGGAGATCTGCTCTCAGCGGGCGCCCTGTCTATCTGCTCTCCTCTGCCCACAGTGGGCTGCTATTGGAATGAGGAGAGAACAGAATACTACTCCCTGTATCTATCGTGCCCCTGCAAATTACAAATGGCTGATACCAAATTAAATTTAGGTATTTAAACGAATTTAGGTTGAAATCGATGATGTTATCACATGATATTCTTCAGAGCAGGCACTTTGAGCAGCTGATGAGAGGGGCCAGCAGGGAAGAGAACAAAATGGGTTAAACTTATTGCTGGGGTTGTGGGTGACAGTGTAGGTGTTGACAGAAGGGCAGAGAACACCCCTGTCATAGCTGCAGCATTGAACTGCAAAACAGGTTCAGTGTTGAAGCATTGCAGCGCAGATGTGGGTGGGAGTATCGTGCTGGACAATTAAGATGTGCACAGTTTCTTTTGTAGGGTGTGTGCAGCCAGGAGTGTGGGTATCTGTAAGTCCAGTGACAGAGGAGCAGAGGACTTCCCTATCATATCTGCAGCATTGTTAAGTGCAGGGGTCGGCAACCCGCGGCTCCGGAGCCGCGTGTGGCTCTTTCATCTCTCTGCTGTGGCTCCCTGTGAAGGGGCGGAACTACCGCCGGGGCCTGTAGCTGTGGGGTGGGGGGGCCCGTGAGGTCCGGTCCTGGGCACCCCCCCGGTGGAGTATGCGGCAGTGCAGGGTCCAGGAGCCCCGCACTGCCGACGGGCTTCTCAGAAAGGGGGCGGGTCCTGTGACTCACCTCCTCTCCCGGCTGCGTCCTGAGTAACAGGCGATGGGAGAGGAGAAGTGTGTGTCACATGCACTGCCCTCTGCAGTGCACACCGTCTGGCTGAGATGCTGGCTGTGAGGCTTGGCGGGTGAGTCAGAAAGAGGAGCGGGGGGGAGGGAGGGAGGGAATGTGAGAGTTGTGGAATGTGAGATCGCACTCACAGAGTCGGATAGAAGTGGCATTTCAGGAACGAACAGCTGTTCCAGGGCAAATCAGTTCTCCTGCACATACGATTTGCGATGCCGATCTGCCCTGAAACAGCTGAAAAAGCGTTGGAATGCTTGACCTATTGGCAGTCACACCTTCCACCGCCAAAAAACTGGGCGGGATTACATTGAAATGTGTGACCACGTCATCGGTCACACATTGTAACGTAGTCACAAACTTTGATAGAACACCGCCATCAGGGGGGTACGGCTGGTCCCCATGTGAGGGGTCTGGGCAGCCTGGGGGGCCTCTTACATGAGTATCAGCTGTACCAGGGGTGGCATGGCAGAGGTGACAGGGGAGGGAGTGAAGGAGGCCAGGCCCCAGCAGCAGCAGGTAAGAGGAGTTGGGAGGAGGTACAAGGAAAGGGACCAAGGCGACCAGCCCACCTGAGGCCCTGCAGAGCCCACCATAGAGAGTCTCAAATGGGCTGTATAGGATCTATGGTGTGCTCTGCAGGGTCACTCAGGTGGGCTCTGCGGGGTCTCAGGTAAGTCCAGATTCAAGTGCGTTACTAAGCCCAGAGTCCAGTGCGTTGCTAAGCCCAGAGTCCAGTGCGTTACTAAGCCCACATAAACCTATATACATGTTATAGCATAAAGGTAAAAAACAATATATGCAGGGTTATCTTCATTTTAAATGTCAAAAGGGTTTTGTGGCTCCCGATGTTTTCTTTTCTGTGGGAAACTGA